AGTAGTTACGATTGGTACAATTTCATGGTCTCAGTTAAAACCTAATAGTGAAAAGTAGGTTTGCAACTTTTATAACCCTAGTTATTTTATAATATGTATTGGTTAATCTGTTATTTTTTAATTGTTCTAGCCCTATCCCCTAACCCTGTTTATTAAGAGTTCCTCACTGAGATTAAACGGTGCCCCTGCCGTGAGAGCAGCTAGTCAGGGTTTAAAAAGTCAGGACCGGATTAAGCAAGTAATTAAAAGTAAGTAATTTCAAACGTACTCAGAGTAAACATGAGATTAGAAAAGGTGAAAGAGAGAGGTGGTGGTATTATAAAATATTCAGTGAGAGTGGTCGTATCATGTGAAAATTTAGAAGTAAGTTTAATGTATTTGTAGCATCTCCAGGTCATGGCCTACTTAAATACATAAAAACTGAATATGAAGGTGCACATATTCACCAATATTAAGCTTGCATAGTAGGCATATAGTCACAATAAGTCCATATTCTGCATGACCACACTGTATAACTATGTTTTTAGTCAGTAATCAAGCAATTATTGCTTTGGTTTTTTTATTGGTTTTTTTTTATGACCTTGTAAAGTATCAGTACCAGAAGAGTCATTCTCCCTTGTTAACACCTATAGCAGCTGATACACTATAGTAGAAATGGTGCTATTGAAAAGCACTTTGAGTGCACTGTTAGAGTAGAAAAGTGCTATATAGGGACCAGACCATTTACCATTTACTCTCAGTGAAAACAAAATACTTCATGCATGCACTCAATGTACAGTTCATTGCTAGCTTTTGATATATTGGGGTGTGTTTGGTTTAATGATCTTATGCAGATATTTTGAAATAATGAGATGAGAGAGCCAGCCCAACAGAGATGCCTTTGTCCCTGAAGCATCAAGCACACTGTACCTACTACTTAGTAATACTTTGTTTAAACACATGCCATGTCCCTCTCTAGCTGTAGTAAGGTAGACAAAAGGCTACAATTAATGTGTGAAGGGATTCTGGTGACACTAAACTGTGTAAGCTGGCAAAGCAGCATTCCAGCTAAGTTATAAATAACACAGAAGAAGACTGGCTTCACTACACCAGGCTGTGATTACTAGTCCACCATCTCTTCCCCTCTGTTTGAAAATCTCTTAAGTGCTCCATTACTACAGGGCGTAGTTCCTCTTGTGCTGACTTTTTTCCACTACCAGTGAACTGGAATAGAACCTGTGGATCTTAGTAGCATCTGCCAAATGCAGCAGTTATATACAGGGATGGGAATCACAGTATGATACAACAACAGTGGTGTTCTATTGCTTATACAAAGCATATATAGCTCAAGACAATCATCTGCAATCTGTGTAACTGAAGAAGAAAAATCAGGAATTTTGCATCTATGAACTTATCGGGTGTCAGTATGTGGGCATTTCATTATTATGCACTTTTAATAACATGTCAGTTCAATTAATTAGCTCCCTGATTGGCTTTTTCCTGCTGTTTGCCATTATCCCGTTTCTTGTTCTTCTGTGAGCTTCTTCTTCATTAATGCAAGTTTGTGACCTTGCATATCAAAAAATAACACAACCAGGAAAATATTCTTTCTTTTAAGTTGACTTGATGCAATATGAAATGATACTGTATTGCACTGTTTCCCACCTATCTTGATGTCATTGTGTCAGCTTTGGCCTCCATGCATTCATCCACCATCTGCTCTACTCTGAAAGTCTCTGCCTTCAAATGTTACACACACAGAACTCAATGGGTTGAACCTTGATGGCCTCTAAGAGTTGGACGCTCCACTATGACCATCTGAGTTCCATTTGAAGTCTTTTACAAACCCTAGAAACAACTTGTCACAAACCCAAACCCCATTTCAGAATGGCTATATTGGCAACAACCACTCAATGAGAATAAAACATCTCCAGAATTATTCCCAAGGACATGGAGTAGTGACCTTAGGTCACTTCCTGGTAAATATGGTTGAAACCTCAAAGTCATCTGCCTGGTCGAAACTGACATATGCTGGCAATGTTTTCACATAGACTAGAAGTCAGACCGTCTCTTAAGAAGCAAATAATACAACTCAGATTATTTCAAAGAATGAATTACATGAATTTATCTTTGTTCTGCTTTTTTTGACACGGTGACAATTAATATTGCCGGTACATGATTGTGAACAAATTAGTGTTACTGGAGACTGTTTTAAAAAATAAGCAAATTAATGCTATGAAGCTATTTACAGTTTTGTGAATTAACTCAGTAGGATAAGCACAGGATTTAGAAGCAAAAGGTCATAGGGTTTGAGTTAATCTCAAGTTAGAATGTTTTTTTCATCCTGTTTTCTCTATTGAGAAGTTGTTTACATTTAGTTTATTTTTTATTCTAATTCATAAAAAGACATAAAATAAATCTTGAACACAAACGTTCTCAAGACGGACTTCTAGGTCTCGTTGAAGATATACTTCGAACTGACTAGATGTCAAGAAAAAACCATCAGCTGATGCTTATCCAATACTGCAATGTTTGCAGGACTAGGATATTTTTCAAAATATTCAAAAACACAAACACACACTTTTCCGACTTTCCTATCGGAACACATTAACCCTGGAGTTGCTCCCTTGTTCCAACATCTGACTCCCAAGGTAACTAAAATGTGATGTATTTTACTTTGCTTTCAGGGGTTAACTGGAAGACGAATTGTTGTATTTGAACTTCTAGGATCAATAACTCATAAAAAACCTTATTCAAACACCAACAGCACTTCCTTTCAGCCACGTTAAGCAGACAACAAGCTAGAAGGTTATTTTCATCCAGACACATCATTTTCCAACCTGGACAAATAATGCTGGTAGAAGTTGGCTATGAGTTATATGAAGATCTTCAAGATGCAACATCAGAACAAAATTACTCAAGCATTCACACTTCTGAATAATATAGACTGTTTTAAGAACATTATTTTATAATTTTCTGCTGATGCAATGAACATTTAATAGTATTTCTGCTTAATCCTCTTTTGTTTGACCGTGTTATTACAAATAGCTTAGTTAGCTTTACTCAAAGAGATTTGTACTCTCAGACATTTAACAAAAAAAGAGAAATTACCTCTTGTTGCATAAACTCAAGCAAAAATTAAACATAATCCATAATCCTATGATGTATTTGTTGTACATAGCTTCTAGCAGAAATAGTTCATCTGTGAGATTCTTGCAACATCTGGATAAAAGCACCACTTTTCTTGCCTCAGACTACTGGCAGAAAAGTCAATTGTCAAAGTAATCACTGAGTCACTGGTATTGATCAGTACCCGCCCACATTTATACACCCTCCTCTCTCCAGATAAATAGTGACAGTTTTCTAATACTATATAGTGAAATGAAACACTTTCTTTTTTTGTCCTTCTCAGTAGACTCAATCAAGATCACCATTATGTCATTATGACATCTGTGTTGATGCTGTACATGTACAGCAGTCCCTGCCTGACCTGACTCTGACTGCTGCGCTTGTCTGTGTTGTTATAAAGAAAGAAAGCACACGGGCTCAGGAGCCATCAGCTCTAATAAATATCCTAATGGTTGCACCTGCACATGCACTGGGCTGTGAAATGTAGCCGAGGAGAGGTGTTGGTCTGGAAACACAATGTCCGCCATTCAGTTCGATGCCGGAGTCCTTAAAATCTGTCGCCGGCAGCCGGGTGACACGGTGCCACTCATTTTGCAGTATAATTTGGGTCAGCGTTGGCTGATATTTTAAGATACAATAGCCTGAAGTGACTTCCCGGCATGTGCACGTGTCAAAAAAAATGGCATCAGCCCATGAATTAGCAAATCCAATCAGAGTTTCGTGATAGCTGTCTGCTCAGAGGGGCCCTCATGGGAGGACACTGCTAACTGTGGCTTCTGTGGTTAACAAGCACAATGAGAAAGGGTTTCTTTTTGCAGATAAAAGAGGGCTTCAATGGAAAAATGTATTTCCTTTACTGTGCCTGGATGGTACAGTATGTGGACTATTGACTGGAAACTCATGGCTGCTGCTTTAATCCATCCTCTAAGTGAGTCAGTGTCTGAGGATGAGGATTGTTGGAAACAGGAGCAGGAAGCTGTATTATGTTGAAGGGTTTTCTTTTTTCACACCCAGGCTTCTGTGTATGTGGGGTGCTGGCAGTGTGTGAGATAAAGCTGTTTTAGTGCTTACAGGAAATCCAACCCATCCATCTGACCATCGCATAATGGACTTGAAGGGGGGGGG